TTCTTAGCTCCAAACCTGATCCCAGATGTCACGCCAGGAACGTTTGTTCTCAAGATACAAGAGACGCAGACTGTGCCCTTCCACCCCTTCAGTACAGCTTTGGTTTTAAATAGGAAACGAATCAAGGGGATTGTGGGAGTCGGGGGGGAGATACAGACCAGGGCCGGGCTGGCAAGCCAAGGACACCTACTTTGAAAGAATACTCCAGTTTGACGAGTAATGGAAAGTTGATGGCCTGGAGTATCCGTTTTTCATTGAGGGTATGCTCAATTTGTTTGAGCTTCACTAACCTGCCTGTGAGCACAGGTGTTCCTGGCTTCCTCCTTGTGACAGCCAAAATAGAAAAGGTGAAGTTGAGAAGCGGAAGGGCTGGGACGAGGCCTGGACGGGTCGGAGTTTCCCCCCCAAGGCAGAGCACGCTGGGATTAGTGTGCGGCGAACGGTGACCTTGGCACGAGCTGGATGCTCCCATCAGCACCCCTGGGCGATGGCCCGCGCCAGGGCTGCTGGGCCACAGTCGGCTGCTCCCTTCGGCCTGGTGGAACTTAAGAAAACAAAGTTAAGCCTTGGAGATACAGGGCCGGGTCCCCGGCGGGTGCAAATCACCCTCGGGCCATTGGCATCAATGGGGCCAGATCCTCGGCTGGTGTGATGCAGTTTTCAAGTCAATACAGCCATGCGATTCACGCTACCTGCGCCTCTGGCCCATTGACTCGGTGAAAGCACCGTCTGAGCTTTTTATGTTGTTTTATATCCGTTTTCCGTGAGGAACTTGGGCTCCGATCCTGCAAGGACACACGGGCGTAACTCTCCTCCCATGAGTAACGCTCCGCATGTGGCATAAGGGTTTGCAGAGTCAGGGCTGCGGGCAGTGCCACGCTGGATTGCCCAGTATACCACTGTGCACGTGCCAGTCGCCTATCTCCCGGCTGGCTCAGGCAGGTGCAGTAACCCCTTAGTGACGTTCTCTGAGGGGGTGTCTCACTTTTCCAGACGGTCACTGAGGCAGGGGTGGGGAGCAAGTGCCACAGTCTTGGTGACGTAGAAGAGAACTCCCTGCCAGCCATCCCATTCCTGATAGTTTGGATACACTACTGCCGGCAGCTGGGGCAGTATGGAGTGGGGGAGGACCGCACAGGAAGGCTGGTTCCAGGCCATGGAGGGCTTTATAGGCCATAAGCAACACTGTAAACATCAGCTGGAGATCTTAGGAGCTGAGATGCGGGGGCAGATCTGGCACAAAGTGACTCTAATTTCTAGGATCATCCGAGCCTTTCATTAAGGATTGAGCAGGGTGTGTGGGGGAAGCTTCGTTCCTAGTGGAGTGTGTTCTGGGCACATGTGGGGGGCTTTGGGGCCCTCGAGGGGAGCTGGTCTGCAATCCTTGCAGGGTTCGATGCATGTTGGAGGAGGCTGGGGTGTGGGGGGGTCTGTGTTGCCTGCGTTGTCCTGTTCTGGGGTTAAATGGGGACCTTCCCCAGCTCTCGATGGGGCATCTGTATGTAATGGAAAACCCGCTGGGCTCGCTGCTGGGCTGTGTGCTGGGGGATGGGGAGAGTGCTGTGGCTCAGACCCGTCGAGGGGCTGTCTCTGCGACAGCGTTAATTTGGCCAAGCTCGAGAGCGAGTGGCCCTGCTGCAGTCGAACACGCGAGCTTCTGCATCCCCGCTCGTGTGGATCACTAGGACTCCTGGGAGCACCTCCCGTGGCTCTTAGAGCTGCAGTAAACTGAGCCGCTGGATGGATTTTCCCAGTGACTTGTGGGAGAGCTCGTCTGTCCTCTCTGGCCACCTGGAGGGGAGGGGGGAATCGTGGGATGCCGTTGGAGGACAAGTGGCACTCGAGAGAGGTTGGCCTGTGTCTACCCTACAGAGCAGTTGTCTTAGCAGCTGACGAGTTGGGCTAACTCGCTCTGTAGCCCATAGCCTCTCTCGGGCCAGCCGACTTGTGGGTGGACTGAGGCGACTCGAGTTAAGGGCTGCATCTGAGTTAACCGTGCAGTGAAGACCAGCCCTGAGCATGTATCTAAGCTCTCCCCACCTTGGAGCAGTTGCTTTCAGCTGGGCAAACTGGGACATATTGGGCCTAGATCAAAGATGCTTGCATTGAGCAACAGTGCAAGGGCAGTGGGTGCTTGTCTCCTCCCTTTTGGCTGCCTGAGGGTGCGGCTGAGCTGGGAGTCGCTCTGCCTGGGGTGGCAATTGGACAATCTGCCCCCTGGGTGTGGTGCGGGATTAGTATGTAAACAGCTACCCACCCTACTCTGGCTCTGCTGGGATGAATCAGGGTCCGTGTGAGCCTTGAGGCGGTTGCTGGCATTGGGCAAACTGAGCCACCAGGGCCTCTGACCTCTCGGGACATGCCTGAGTGAGTCCCAGGAGGGATCAAACCGGCGACACCTCCCTTTTGCTTGCACTGCACCTTCCCCCTGCACCCTCTCACTTCCACGCTGTGAGCTGCTGACCTGGGTCCCCTGTAGCAGCTCCAGTGTAACAGGGGATGGGAGGGAGTGGGCCTAGGAATTTAGGACAGGAAGTGAAGATGAAGAAATCCCAGTTGAATTGTGATGGGTATTTCAGGGAGGCAGAATGGAATCACGCCAGGGTTCAACTCTGACTCTTGAGTGACGAAGAAAGGTGGAGGAGATCTCTGGAGAGGCAGCCGGAGCAGAAAATCCCAAAAAGGGTTAAGGGAAAACGGGGCTTTTGCAGACCTCAGGAGTAAAATAGGTCCGTAGCAGAGGTGCATTAAGGCTCGTTGATGGATAGGGAGAAGAAATGAGGGGATACAAATGTCTGGGCAATAAGGAAGTGCGTTAGCTTTCTGTCTAAGGTCCTTATCTGGCTCCGGTTATTATAGTATCCGAGAGCCTCACAACTGGTAAGATATTTATCCTCCAACTCTGCTGGTGAGGCAAGGAAGTGCTATCATCCCCTTCTGTAGCATGGAGAAATTGGTGCACAGACTAAGTGACTTGCCCGAGGTTAGTCTGGGGCAGAGCAGGGAATTGAGAACTTGGGAATCTCCCAAGTCCCAGGCTAGCGCTCTAACCATTGCACCAGCCTCCCTCCATGATGTGAAATATCTGGTTAAATAAAACATGAGGGGTAGGTGGATGCTAGCGAGAGAAATTGGCCGGCTTGGGTGAAACGCTCGGTTCTTGGAGGGAGTTTGGTTGAAAGGCAGGGGAAGAATGCCAGCCTGGCACGGATCTTCCTGAGGCAGAGAGCAGCGATCGCCCTCTGGCAAACCCGCATCACATGAGATTGCTGCTGCCGTCTCTCTGACAGCAATGGCCCGTCCATCGGTAGGACAAACACAAACACACCATCTGGAGGGAGGGGAAAGGATTTTTTGACGCCACATGCTGCCCCTGCCCCGAACTGCAGCCCGTGAGGTATGTGTGGCTTCGAAGTGGTGACTGCTTGCCCCCTCGTATCGCTCTGATTTTCCTGTGCTTTAAATCTGTTGCCCTCGCAGCCTTATGCAGGGGCAGATCCCCTGTCCTTGGACCTCCAGCCCTCATGGGGCCAAGCCCTTACCCCCACCCCCCATTGGCTCCCCTGGCCTGCCCACGCCCGTCTATGGAATCCCAGAGGGCTCAGATCCTGGGTGGCCCCCACCCTGGCTGAGAGTGAGTGCCTCTCTTGCCCCCTGCAGTGCCAGGCACAGGGCCCGGGTGGATTGGCCCTGCCGAGGAGCCGTAGGCCAAGCGCAGAGGAGGCCATAGGCTGAGCCAGCAAGATGGAGGCCGGAGGTGAGCCAGGCTGGGGCGAAGGTCCTGGCGGGATGGGGAATGGGACACATATGAGGACACGGGGCCTTTCCCCTCTAGGGGGTGCTGGATATTCCCCCGCCCCGGGCCCTGTTCTGCCCCATAGGATATGGGTCACTTCCCTCACTCGTACCCCGTGGTGGCAGGGCAGGGTCTGTTTTTATATGCCTGTGCTGTGCTGTGTTCTAGTGGAGAAGGCTGGTCAGAGGAGGGCACATAGCGCT